TAATAATAAATAATATATATATATATTATATTTATATATAATAATTACTTGCTTTAGAAATAATTCTTATTTTTGGATGCATCCACAAAGGGAGGTTTTATCAGATTTAGATTTTCCCCAGTAGTTTTCACGTCCCTCCTTCAGCGAGGCGTTTATCTTGTGTCCTGCCTTGTAACACACAGACACCCTTTAATACACTTCAGCAGAGTGAGAGTTGAGAACGAGAAAACGGACATTAACATTCAGACTGCACACCGATGCAGTAAACACTGAGGACTTCATGCTAATGTTAACATTAAGCTCACCTCATGCAGCCAAACTTTACACTATCAGCCTGGTCCTCTTGTTGTGTTGGGGTAATAGTGAATTGCAACCAAATGGCAATTTAAATAAGGGTATGTATGTATGCATGTATGCATGTATGTATGTATGTATGTGTTTATTTGTTTTATTTAAAAGTTATAATTTAAATTTTTGATTTTAAGTATTTATTTATTTGATTTGTTTTTTATTTAAATGTGTTAATTTTAAATGTTTATTTGTTTTATTTTATTTGTTTATGTATTCATGTATTTATTTAAAATGTTTATTTTATATATTTAAATTTATTTATTTATTTAAAATTTAGAATTTTTATTTAAATGTATTCATTTATTTTTATTCATTTTAATTTTCAGTTTTATTTATTTTATTTATTTATTTTGAATAGTTTATTTAAATGTATTCATTTTAAATGTTTATTTATTATTTTAAATGTATTTATTAAAAAAAGAATTATACATAGAAATGAATCCCACACGTTTTGTGTCTGAGAGCTGATTTTGCAGCTTTGTCAGCAGATTCCTCTGATATTTTCATGTTTTTTATCTGGTGTAACCGTGTAAAAGTTCCCATGTAGGACTGCTGTCAGCCGAGCGCCTCAGAGGGTGATGAAGTGAAGTGTCTGGGTTCGAGTTTGTGGAGCATCAGGTCTCTTTTCAATGTGAAGTCTTCCCCATGACCTTTGACCTTCAGGGGTCAGCTGCACACTTTGACCTTCTGGTTCATAAATTCTTTGTCACCCTGGAGAGTCCTATGCTTTCAGTCCCGTTCTCGGCTCCACTTTTAAACTTTACCATGTATTTCTAACAGTAACCTCTGATGGGCTGATGAGCTTTTAAACCCATAACAGTGTCATACCTGGACTGTTGGTATCGTGTAATTATACATTTAAGTAATGAGTAATATTAATTAACTACATGTAGTTAGGGTTAGGATTTGGTTTAGGGTATCTTGCATGTAAACATGCATAATTTATTGTTATTGTAATAGTAAGTACATGTAATGTGTAACAAGGACACCTTAAAATAAAGTGTTACCAAATTTTGTGAAGTTCAGTACTTCATAACAAAAAATAATAAACATTATATAGACATACATGCATATATAAACAACCAAAAATGACAAAAACACAGAAAAATTGCTAAAACTTTAACTAAAATTAAAAAGAAAATGGAAAATATAAAAATCTCTCTCTCTATAATTTTATATAGATATAATTAAATAGATATAAAATGTTATTTTTTTCCATTCCCTTTATTGCCTCTGTTTTTACATTATTGGTTCATTATCATGTTTCATTATAATGTAATTTGTGATCCTGGAGCACAAAAGCAGTAATAAGTCGCTGGGGTATATTTGTAGCAATAGCCAACAATACATTGTATGGGTCAAAATAATAAAAAAGAATTTTTTATGCCAAATATCATTAGATATTAAGTAAAGATCATGTTCCATGAAGATATTTTGTAAATTTCAGTTCTATATAAGGAATGTCTCATGTATTAATCTCAGTTTCAAAAGATTGACCCTTATGACTGGTTTTGTGCTCCAGGGTCACATTTATAGGAAACAAAATGTAATTTTTAAAAGTATATCATATAATGTGTGTATCTAAATATAAATATAATTTGCAAACTTATAAAAATCATATTAAATATATTAAATATAAAAGTGTTTTCATTCCTTTGAATGCTGTCAGTGTTGCAGAAAGGACATTGTTCACCTTCAATCGTCTCCTGTATCAGATCAGAGCAGACAGATAGTGAAGTTTAGACACAATGCTAAACGAGTTCATTAATCACAGCGGTGTGAGAAACAATCACGTTTGCTTTCACTATTCAGATTCGGACCGTCATTCTAGTCAACAATCATCTAAATCACATGAAGGCTTTATGTGTTATTCAGCAGCTGCTGCACTGATTTCACTGCAGGGAGGACTTTCACATCATAAAACCAGACAAACATCTGCCTTTAATAGCCTTTATCTTTGAGTATTTCAGACGTTTCGCCGGTTTGAGCCCAACGGATGCCAGAACATGTTCAAGATTACACCGTATTATTTCTGTCAGCTTGTTTTATGAATCTGATTTTGATTTGTATGTCCGAGCTTTTTAATGTAACATTAAATAACACTGAAATATCTTTCCATGCATTTGTTCCATACTTCAACAGGTCCAAAACACAAGCGCTTCAATTTGTGCATGCTCACTTTCATGCATTGTAGCGCTTAAAGTTGCATTTTGTTTATTGATTCCACTAAAACAGCGTAACAGAGAGAGACAGAGCTGAATCAAACAAAGATTCTGCTCAATCATACATGCATTGCATTGGACTGAAAAACAATGGTGATCAATTTGTTTCCAGAGCTTTCTGTCCCAGTTTAACCTCAGTATGCATTCGGCTGATGAGAATCAATGATCAGAACAGAGTTTAAAACATTAGAAATACAATGCAAGCATAGCTACAGCTAAAGTACCTTGACAAGTGTTTAATTATCTTCTTTTATTACAAAACGAGTGCAGTGTTCAGCATTGAGGCAGTGAAAGTGTAAGACTTGAGCTTTCTAAATTGAATTAATTGCTCTCTGGCTGTGCGTGTAATCTGCCTTTTTCATGCTCTGGAGTTTCTTTTCTTGGAACAGTTTGAGTAAAGACTAAAAATTACGGCTAATTAATCTCCTGCCGCCTGTATCAATTACTCGGCCTGATCTCATTTATAAAAGCGCAGGATTACGCAGTCAGCGGGAGTGCTTTAATTCATTTTTTAAAGTGATTTAAATTGTTGCTCTGGTGGGGTTTTAGTTTTCTTCCCAGCGAGACTCTGTTTTACACATGCAATATAAGTAATGAGGCTTGCAGTTTTTTTAATACATAATTTAACACGTATATGGGGCAAATCAGCATACCTTTACATAATTATTTAATCATCATGAGAGTTTTAAAGTTTTGTGTACTTGTGTAAAACTACAGAAACTTTGATTACCAGATACCCTTTTTTAATTTTACTTGAGTAAATGCAAAATCAGTGCAAACAAATCAGGCCAATTCGCCAATTAATCTTTTGCTGCGTCCCAATTCGCATACTATCCGTCCTAAATAGTATTCGAAAATATAGAACTAGTATGTTCCAAATCATAGTATGTTTAAAAAAGTATGCCAAAGATTCCCGGATGGTCTACTACTTCCGGTTAGAACTGTAAGTGCAGATCGATGCACACTCTAACGGCTAATATTGCCCACAACACATTGCGCGGTGGACGAGGATTCAATTAGAACTACAAATATGCATTAAAAGTGTTAAAAACTACAAACATGGTGCATATACGCGACCAACGGACAGGTAGATAAACGGATTTGAGTGATAAATAATCAATGTCTAACCTGATGAAAAATATAAATTTAATGTTATCCACGTTATATTTCATCTGCGGCAACACTGTGAACTTTTATAATGATACATTTGGTCATTAACTTTTAAATGCATCATTATGCATTATGCATGATAGACCCGCGACTGGCAGATCAACGTACCTCTTAATTTCTTTCCAATATGGTAGGAAATCAAATGTTAAAACAAAATGTGGATGATGTTAACTGTGAAAAGATGATTGACAGGGCAGTGACAGAATGCACGTAACTAAGCAACAGAGCGTCCGTTACAGACGCAGTTATGACGAAGGAGTGTGTCCCAAAGCTTGCCTACTATTCTTCTACATACTCAAAAGTATGTACTTTTTCTTCACAAAAAGAGTACATACTTTTAGGGCATAGTATAAGTAGGCGAATTGGGATGCAGCAATAGAGTGCAATTTGCGAACTGATTCATTAGGTTCATTAAAAAGAATCAGCTCATTTAAGAATTGGACATCACTGTCGTGTTTTATTAAAGGTGTATTTGATATTACTTTGTTGGTAATATGCAATTAAGCCACATGATTATTGTAGCAATTAGTGTAATATTTTTATTTTTTAATTTAATTTAATTTCATTCATTAAGTTTCTTAAAGGCCAGTGGACTGTTTTCACAGCCGCTTTAATTCACAAATAACTGACAGACGTGACCTAAATATTATTTTCATTTACAATAATCAATACTAAAAGTCAGACATGACGACTCTCTCAAACCGAATCATTGAATCAGTGAGTTGTTCACTCGAGAACAGCTGCGATCGGATCAGTCCAGTTCACCAATGAATCATTCAGTGCAATTTGTGAACTGATTCAATAGGTTCATTAAAAAGAATCAGCTCATTTAAGAATTGGACATCACTGTCGTGTTTTATTAAAGGTGTATTTGAAATGATAATATGCAATTAAACCACATGATTATCGCACCAATTAGTGTAATATTTTTTTTATTTTATATTATATATTTTTATTTTATTTTATCTTAATTAGTTTGTATTTATTATTTTGATTTATATTTATTTTTTAAACAATAACAGTTTTTATTAAAATCATTATTTTATTTTTAAACATCTGCAACTGAATTGTTCAGTGGAATTTGTGAACTGATTCAATAGGTTAATTGAAAAGAATCGTCTTCTTCATGAATCTGGCATCGTTATCATGTTTCAGAGCGTGTCTCTATTTCTTCAGTTCACGATAACGAACGATATGTTTTTATGAAATCTGGTGGAGTAAAACCTACAATATTATGCTTTGGAAACTATTTTTCTGTTTGGTACGATACAGTGCAGAGTGCTGGCGGTTTATGGCTCTTGTTTGTGTCGTTTCACAGATCAAGAGCTCTAAATGTGAGGCAGAGATCCAGACTCTGACGCTGAAGAGTTTGCTGTATCTGGAGCGCTACATGTACCTGATCCTCTTCAACACGTACCTGCACCTGGAGAAGAGAGACTCCTGGCAGCGCTCCTTCAGCGATTGGATGCTGCAGGTGAGATCAGACGTTCATCACATACATTTACTGCAGCATAAAAACACTGGCTGGAAACGTGTGCTTTACCCAACTGATAATCAAACAACCATACTGACCTTTCATAGTCTCACATCGGCGTAATAGTAATTAGCGTGCTTTTTCTTGCAAACAATACAGTACAAAAATGTAAATATGGTGAGTCATTCTCTCCATTATTTTGTTGCTTTATGAAAGCCTACGTTGCAAAAGACCTTGTTGATAAATAAGTGCATTTGCAGCATCATTTCTGCTGAGTTCTGAGTTCATCATCATGCAGAGCAGAAGTAAACTCTGCTGAAACTCTGTTGCTGTTCTGACAATATCACCAGAACTGAACAGATTCTGTTTTTTGGTGAGTATTTTTTATTTTTTTTTTGAATTCAGTATTTCAGTATTTTATCTGTGTGATCACTACTGCAAAAAACTCAATAACATTACATCTGTGTGGTATTTAATGTACATTTTATATGATTTTGTCATATAAAGCCAGCAATTAGTGCTTTTTATTTTATTAGTTTATTTAATATTAATTATTTTTATATGTATTTAATATATAATATCTAATGTAAAATAAACTATATAAAATAAAAGTATATAATATATAGTTTATTATGTATTATATATTATTTAACATTTTTTGTTTTGTTTTATTTTATTTTTTATTTTATTTTATTTTTTTATTTTGTTTTGTTTTTTATTTATTTATTTAATAAAAATTTTTTTCATTTTATTTTATTTTGTTATTTTATTTTATTATTTTTCCTGATGTCCAGTGGACTGGCTTCACAATTAAAAAAAAAAAAAAATGAATGCCATGTTTGTTCATCTCCCTTCAGCTTCACACTTGATTTCAAAAGTCCGTCACAATCCTCAGTGTATTTTAGTGTTACTGTAACACAGCAGCAGATCTGAATCAGAGCTTTTCATGTGTTGTGTGCATTTGTCCAGCTGTTGCGTGAATGTTTCGCGGTGGATTCTCTTCTCCTGTGTGAATTTGTGCTTGTCGAGCCGTAGCCATCGCTTCATTTGGACGTGGCCCCTGGAATTTACAAGCTTATTCTAGTATCACTGAGAGCGCCGCTGCTTCACACGCAGTTTCACGAGGTCTGCTCTGTGAGTGTGAGTGAGAGTGTGTGTGTGTGAGAGTGTGTGTGTGTGTGTGTGAGTGTGTGTGAGAGAGTGTGTGAGAGTGTGTGT